CTGATTTTCCCTCTCTTAATAAACATACATTGGACAGTTTCTCTCTAAATCAACACACATTGGACAGTTTCCCTTCTAAATAAACATACATTGGACAGTTTCCATTCTGAATAAACATACATTGGACAGTTTCCCTTCTAAATCAACATACATTGGACAGTTTCCCTTCTAAATAAACATACATTGGACAGTTTCCCTTCTAAATCAACATACATTGGACAGCTCTCTAAATCAACACACATTGGACAGTTTCCTTCTAAATCAACATACATTGGACAGTTTCTCTCTAAATCAACACACATTGGACAGTTTCCCTTCTAAATCAACATACATTGGACAGCTTCTCTCTAAATCAACACACATTGGACAGCTTCCTTCTAGTTAAACACAGAAAGACAGTTTGCGACCAGGTAAAAACAAATTGGACAGTTTCCTTCTAGTAAAACACAGAAAGACAGTTTGCTACCAGGTAAAAACAAATTGAACAGTTTTCTTTCAGATCAGTACATCTAAATATTATATTATCATCTTTACTTCCAGTCATTACAAGAACCAAATTTCCAAGTGGAATTATCTTCACCATCAGGGGGCGCTGAGATTGGTAAAAAGAATAGAGCAATCGTTACTATCATTACTGATGAAGGTATATAAATTGATAATCTCGGGATAGATAACTTTTTACTTTCTTTACTTACTACCTCAGATTAGGTATATGAAGACGGCCAATGTCATGCAGTTTGTAACGAGGACTGCGACATTAACTTTATTTTTACGATTTCTAATTGTCGGGAGATCTCTCGCGTTTACATGCTGTGGCCTACGACTAGACGCCTCGTGCTCCGCCGACCTGGGTTACAATGCAAAGGAAACTAGGCTGAAAAGTCTTTCTATAATAAATACAGGGCTTGATATTAATTTCAATTTATTTTCAGAATTTAATCATATGGTATCAAGAATCGCTAACAAAACCGAAAAGAATTTAGAAGGTTTGAAATTAGATACCGGTTCATGGGCCGAACAATTCCACGATGCTTTCAATGTCAATGGAGGTGATGCCGAGAATTCATCAGCTTTGGATTATATAATGCATTTCATCACATTTTTTTGGAAGGTAAAAAAACTTTTCAGATTTTCTCACAGTGTAGCACACATGCCCTATCATAATAGTAGGGGCTTATAACGTTTTGTAATTCCAGCACGAACACTTGAAGCCAATTTGCAAATGAGTTGACTCTGTACGTCTTTAATTTTCACAATGCCAAGCTTGGCTGTAACGTACAATCCAACAGAATTGCTTCCGTGATAGAAGAAAGCTGGCTATGGTTTCACACATGGTCATGGATTGAACTTATTATATTTTGGGTTTCAGGTTTTGTTTGCCTTCATTCCACCACCAACAATGGGGGGAGGATGGTTCACGCTCATCATCGCGTTGGTCTTCATTGCATTTTTTACCGCCATTATAAGTGACCTTGCTTCTATCTTCGGCTGTTTGATCGAGTTATCACCAACTATAACAGCTCTGACATTCGTAGCACTGGGAACTAGTATGCCAGACACATTTGCCAGTAAACTTGCAGCACAGAATGAAAAAACTGCCGACAGTTCGATTGGAAATATCAATGGAAGTAACTCAGTCAACGTGTTCCTTGGATTAGGTATGCCATGGGTGATTGCTTCTATATACTGGGAAGCACAGGTAAGTTCTCTCAATCTCCTCAAATTTGATAAGTATATGTGGGTTGTCGACCTTGACTTTACTTTAGTTTTATTGGATTAAGGGTGGCTTTGTATGTGTATCAGGGGGGAAAAATAAAATAAGATATTTGCACTATTCCGACGCATGTGGTTCTTTTATAACTTGAGTTATTGAATCTCTTTAGGGGAATGAGAAACGGGTTTTCGACCTTTTTGCAAAATAACAAACAAAGTTAAAATCCATATTTCTGTTGTTATTTTCAGGGACTGAAATTCGAGGTACCATCAGGCTCGTTAGTTTTTAGTGTCATTCTGTACACAGCATGTTCCTTCCTTGCCTTGTTTGTCTTAATGTTACGGCGAAATTTATCAATGTTCGGACGCGCTGAATTAGGTGGGCCGAGTGGACCAAAGATTTTTACTGCCGTGATTATAATGCTTTCGTGGGTATTCTATGTTGTTTTATCATCTTTACAAGCTCAGAAAATTATAACAGTCAACATTTAATTCATTCTAGACCACGTACCCAGTCCGACCTGAGATATCCATATAATGGTAATTCTTTTTTAGTAAATAATCTTTAAATCTAGAAAGTTGGTCAATCAGAAAGAATGTTTATATATGATCAATCTGGCGGAGATACAGATCTAGATATTTTGTTTCGTTCGTTTTATTGGGTTGCTTTGCGTAATTATGTTAATAATAATGAAGACGTGAAAAAAAAACTTTGTGGAGAATTCCGGAATATTCAAGACAATTTTTTTTTATATTGAATATCAGACGTAATTTTTGGATTGTCATTAAATTTTGGGAGAACAGCTTTTAATCGACAAATGTTGTCAGATCCTAGAATGAGCGGAGCAGCCCACAGATAAAACGAGGATCTTTTCTCGATATATCTTAATCATATAGATATTGGATTGAAAGTAAAGTTTTTTCACGAAAGTTTCTTTTTCAAAAATATTTTTTCTTTATAAAGATGGGATTTTAGGCTATGACTGTTCAAGTCTGTTTTCCCTTTTGTGTCAAGTGTAAAAGTGATAGAGTCGACTAAATATTTGCGCATCGTTCTCCAACCAAAAACATATCCTAGATGTTTAGACGGTCGTCATTATTTCCATAACAAATAAATATTTAGACGGTTATATCCCTTTAAGTTAAATTTGTTATTTTGCATTGTTCATAATCTCAACTTCAGTTTTCAAATTTAAAATTCATCAAATTTATCTGCATTTGTTCCACTGTTAAAAGTTTTGCATTAAATAAACAGTCTTACCTACAACATTGTAGTCTTGCTTTCTCTATATTTTCAGTAGTTACCTCCCTTCGATTGATTTGTCTTAGATACGCAATCATAGATTGAACGCAACATGTAAACAAATCTCAAGAATTGCCCTCACACCATAGAGATTACCAGTTGTGTATGATTGTTAATAATGAAAGTGGACACGAGTACCGAACTCAAGCCACAACTCAGTTACATCAGAGTTGCGTTCGGTACTCATGGCCACTTTCATTATTCGCAACCCTACACAACTGGTAGACGCGATGATGTGGGGTCTCTTTTTATCATAGAATCATCATATCTGGCAGTTTACACGTCAGAAAGTGTCCAGCCGTTCAGATGACAATGGAGGACACGATAGGCGAGATCCCATGCGCTATGTTCATTACACTAAAAAAAACGTCCCAAAGTTCGACAGGTAGTATCTGTGCTGTTGGTAGACTGATCTTTTTCAAAATTCGCACAGACATACTTCAATATTTGGTTGTCCAATCCTGAAAATATGACAGTCATCCAATAAAAAATGAACAAGAACTGCCCCGAACAAAATAGCATTCCAAAAAATACAATATCAAGGCAACTTCCCTATTTCAACCGTGTCGATGTGCCCTACATCTTCGACCACCGATTGCAACCGTTTTTCCATCTCGAGATGCTGTTACGGATCTCACCTAAAAGTATCTGCTCCCAAGAAGTGACTATCCTGCCTTTCAGTTCCTGTTCAGGTATAGCTTTTCCTTCAGAGAATCCCAAACGGCATAATCCAGAATTGTTGAACGTAAACCTATTTCAACAGTATCACAGTAACCGCAAAAACGTTTCAGATGGGAGATAACTCATTTCAAAGATAAAGACTACAGACTGTATTTGCTTTTTCGCGCTTTCACTACGGTCAAGTAATCATCCAACCACCGCTACTTGAATTTTCTAAATTTAATAACCCCTTTTCTATTGACTTGAAAAACACAGGCCCTAGTGTCACAATAAAATGTAAATATTAGTTGAAGATGTAGATTTAAAGTAAGCATTATACCATTCAACGCTTTGACTACTTTCATCTCTGCACCCAAGTATATTTTGTATTAGGTAAAATGTTATCACAAAAGCAATGATGACTTCAGATTCGATTGATTAAATTTGAAAATTGACTCGAGTCAATTTTGCGAAACTATTACTTATTATTTCAAAACTGTCTAATCAGTGGCTTCTTAATTTTAGAATTTGAAACTATAAACCAAATTGAAAACCTTTAATCAATGTTTAAAAGCGATTTTGAGTAAAAGTGAACGATAGACCGTATAGTTTGTAGCCAGTAAACAAATAACAAGCAGGGTCTGTGTTTGCTCGCACGTGGCTAGTTGAATCTGTGGGCCAATCAGTGACAAGTAATAAAATATCTATAGTAAAAACCGTGTCGTATATCGTCGTACACTAGACAACTTGTTTTCACTTTACCGTTAGAGCTCAGTCGCGTGAGCTCCCTCCTGGATATTATAACCGCTCAGTGCTTAAAAGAACATCATACGAATTGTGCTAACTTAGTGATTTTTGATCAAAATAATTGTAAGCATATTGTGCTAAATAAGTGATTTTTTGCTGATATAATCGTAAACTTTTGTGCTAAATGATTGATTTTTTTTTATCAAAATATAACAATCACTTTATATTTCTAAAATCGGAATAGTAGTTTTTCACTCGAACTGTACTGTCAGCGAATTTATTCTGATTCTGGCAGGTTGTTTCTGGATGTTTGCCAGTTTACCTTTGTTTTAAATGTGGAAGAACTGCTGTCAAACAAGTAGTTGTAAATTGTAACTAACTGCACCTCAAGTGCCAGTGTATGTGGCAAAATTCTTCTGCTAAACTGCACATAATATACGCAAATTCAGGATGTAGAACGACAGTGCTTATAATTCGTTCCCCGGGCGTTATTGTGTTCTCTAACATGGATTATCATATGAATAATGGATTATAACAGTTGATTATCAGAATGGATCTAATAAAATTGGTGTATGCATTGCTATGCATAGTGAGCACGTCGTGGACGCAAGCTCTTACACTCTGCGATCAATGCGATTGCTCTTTAAGGTAAGATTCGTTTTTTTATTTCAAAATAGATACTAAATAAACGTTATTAGCTATGTGGATTCTCCGAAAGCAGAAAGCCATAGCTTGACTATTATAGACCCATTGAAAACTTTCCTAACGGTGAGTTGAAACATCCAAATATACCTAATAAACGCAATAAACTATGTGGACTCTCAAAAGTCATAGACGATTATAGACTCATTGAAAACGTTCTTAACATTGAGTTGGCAGATCTACATACATACGTTAGAAACGTCATTCCTCTGCAGACTTAGCGAAAGTGATGTCCAGTTTACAAACCTCAAACCAGAGTGTATCAAAGAGAATATGTTCAGTATGTAACAGTATTACTGTAGCGGATTTCAAATCCAGTAATATTTGGGAACATAAGACCACAGCTCTGTCTTTCTCAAGGGTTCCAATCCGACAAGTTAGCAATCTCTGCTTAGTAACGATACCAATTGTAGTAGTTAATTCAAATGTATATAATATAGCTTATATATTGCCCAGTTTAATATTCAATATTTAGGATTAGGATGTTCCGATCCTTCGGAAGAGTAAGCATTACCTTCATAACTATCGATTTCAATCAGTGATTTCAGTAGTAAAATTCAAATGTATATAGTATAGCTTATATAACCCAATTCAATATTTAAATATTGACATTGCGAAAATCGAGAAATGAAAACAGAGTAAGCTTATTGTATGTAAAATAGAGATATACTACTAGTGTAAGAGTTTTGACAGTCTGGTGTCAGTATAGCGACAACAACATTGAAATATTCTGTTCAACATCTCCAGTATTTAGATTCACCGTATATCATTCTATATATAGAGTCGTTCGTCTTGTCATCATTATACAGATTACTTGGAAACATGCACCAGAAAAGGAGCGAGGGAAATACTGACCCTATTCTACAGACCACCAGGGTTGTTATTTGGGGTACTAGGTTGTATAAGGGGCTATGAGGTGGTATGGTATACAACAACGTTTCTGCAATTTCCAACAGTTTATAACGCAGCCTTTAATACTCCTAGGTTTTGTTGATTTTTTCTACTATTTACATTGTAACAGTCAGTATAATATATTACTCTTTGGGTTTTATTGTATACAACATTTCTACAGTTTACATTGTCATGATCATGGTTTATTACTCCTGATTTTTATAGTGCACGACGTTTAAATAATATAACATCAAATAATATAGAACATACTAAAACTCTGGATAGTGCACAACGTTTCTACAATTTCCAGTGCAATCATTAGTTTGTTTTTTAACATACTATAACTCTTGAATTTTATTGTGTAAAACGTTTCTACAATTTACATTTTACATTGCCATAGTGAGTTTATATAGAATACACTAAAGCTCTTGACTTGTATAGTGCACAACGTTTCAACAATTTACATTGTCACCATTTTAACCTATACAAGTCCAGGATTTTATTATAGAGGGTCTTTGTTAGTTTTCGCATTCAAATCACTATTAAAACATGAACGTTGAATTACTAATGCAATGATATGAGAGTATATAATACGTTATTTGAATATTTGAGTTATTATATGTATGTTAATGGATTTATATTTGACTTGGATTATGAGTTAGATTGAATACCACACTCTTTACGTCTTCAATCTCCTCCGAACACCTTCAATACACCTAATAATATCGTCTTGTCTTTCTTTCAGTTTGAATAGTGACTTCTACACTTCACATTCTTGAAAGGATTTAACAGTTAGAAAGTTAAAACTCAACATTACTCATTTACATTTCTTTAACTTATGAAAATAAAATATGGAAATGAGACCCTTATCTTTGAATATATACGATTTGAATAATATTGGAGTCGGTTAGAGGTCTTTGAATGCTAGGACATTGTCGGTTAGTTTTATGGTAAAACGTCTTCAATTTTATGATATTGGATATTGTTTGCCTACAAGATATAACCGTTATGAATTAGACCAAGTTTCAATCGAATAATTCTGTTTAATATTCCGACCCCTATTGCCATTGAAAGTGTGACAGTAGAGCGTCGCCACGCTCGTTAACCAAGAAAAATGAAAAACCAACTGTCTGTATTGTTGAGATGACAATATATACAGTTG